TATGTATATATATCTATCTATATATATCTATCTATATATATCTATCTATATATATATATATATCTATATATAATAATAGCTATGGCAACATGTGGCAATTGGGGACCCTGTTATATGAATGATTTTGCAGACAAACCCTGTTAACAATAATCCAACATTATTTGTGTTTAGCAGACTTAAACTTTGCACTGCATCTGCATTTCACCACATTCATAAAATGCAGGCCACTATGTGGAGCCTGTGATATCCCATGGAGTGTTCTCTGCATAACACTGCATACTATAACTTTGACAGGTCATATGATTGGGCTCCCACCCTCTCAGCATTTTCTACCCTTTTTAGTTCTTGCTTCCTTAAGAGTCCACAATGCAGAGCAACACATCAACTACAATGCAGTGCCATCCACACCAAACTGTGCATTGTGGTGCACTGAAGAAAAAAAAGATGCAAGTACATTAAGAGGTCCATTGTGGTGCTCTAACAACCTATTTTTTTTCTGAATGTACAAATAGCAAATACTAAAATAAATAACCATTTGCAATATTTTGCTTTTCCACAGACAGTAGTGGGTCAGCTGGGCGGTGGACTAATTGATTACCCCCTGGGCCACGTTCAACAAATTTCATTACCACCAATGAAAGAAGCATCTGAGAGCCAGCTGGGTTTGTCTGCCAATTTCTTGGGCAGTGTCCTCACTGCTTTGCAGAAAGAAGGTCTAATGGATCTTGAAGTAACAAACGGAGATGTAAGCATCCTATTTTTTTGCAAAGTAATTCTGAAGCCTCCGTGGGCCCGCACTACTTAACGTTGACATGAACTCAAAAAGTGAAGATTGGCTATGTTATAGGAGATTTCTAGAGATGTTAATTATGCCTAAACAGTAACCTGAAAAATGTACCTTTTTTATTTAACTTCCTCCAGAAAAATAGCGGTGCACTTTGTGACATGAAACAGTGCATAGGCACTCCTGTTCTGTACCCTAATAGCTGTATATCTGAGGTGTAAGATCTTGGGCACTGCTGCATATGACTACTAGTCAGAGCCGATTCGGTGCACCTCTAAACAAAACTATGATCCTGTTCAGTTTCATGATAAAATTATTTAGGTAAGCAGTAATAAAAAGATTACAAGCATTACTCTAGATTAAAGGAGATCTTTAGAGATTTCTTTATTAAAAGAGTCTTGAGAGATTATTGGAGGCTCTCATTACTGACCTCCCCTTTAATAATGCTAGCTCCTTGGCTGTCATGCTTTGACTTCAATGCTGCCTGAGTGGCTGACCTGGAACAAGTATAGAGATAAAAAGCTGTAACATTTTTCTGGCACTCATTTGTAGCATACTTGTTTTGGCACCATGTCTGAAACATATCAAAGTCAGACACAGTCAAGAATCTAGCATTTTCAGAAGAAGGCCTGCAATGCCCGCCCCATAGTTTTCTCATTACTAGCTTCTGTCACAGACTCCCGTCGCATCGAGTGCTGCAGCCGCAGCGGGGCCGGCCCGGTCAGAAGTGTCCAGTTGCTAGGAGACGTTCTGGGTTGTTCTCCGCTTGCCGCTCCTCCCTTCGTACGACGATCTCCACTACGAGAGCGTAGATGATTCACTTGCTCGGCGTTCTAGAACGTCGAGCAAGCAAGCCAGCTACTCCACACCACTCTCCATCCTGGAACCTGTAGTTCCCCAGCTGAATCTCGCCACTGCAGTGTTCCTAAAGCAGAGGACTTCTCAGTGCGAACCAAAGGCATCCATAGATCCCTAAAACCGCAAGTACCCTCAGCTATATCCACCTGTGTTGGAACTGCATTGTGTGCCATTGCTTAAAGTGACGGCACTTGCTGAGTATTGAGAGATCTCCATTGTGCGTCATTGCTTTTGGGACGTCAACCAATTAGTCTTTGTGCAACCTCCGTTGTGTTGCCACTGCATATGGAGTATTAATTTTACCAAGTTCTGTGTAACTCTGGCTACCTTGGCCATATATTTGCCTCTGGGTTATGCGTGTCAACACCTGTGACTTAGTGCCAGCACTGACGTGCTCCTGCACCTTCTAAATGGACATTACCTACACTGACTGTCGCACCCCTAGGCCTTCTGTTTATTAATTATAACTAAACGCATTAGTGAGTTAACTATTGCACTCCTGAACTATAGACCCATCAGGCCCCAATGCCATTCAATTGAGGACCAAAGGTCAATATCCTTTTCTGTTGCTTAAACTATAGCCTAGGTGGTGTATGATGTGTATAGGGATCCAACCTCACTCCACTCCACTCCAGTGTCATCGTGAACCCTCCACCTGAACCACCCTCTAGATCAATCCGCAGTTGAGATCCTTCTGTCAACAAATCTTGCTTGCTTGTTACAGCTTCTCTCCTCCTTGCTGGATGCTGGTCTGTGTCCCCTCCAATACCCTCTGTTCTCCCCCCACCTGTTTCGGCAGAGGCAGCAGGGATCCGAGGGAACACAGACCGGCATCCAGTGAGGAAGAGGGAAGCTCACGGGATGCCAAGTAGGGTGGTACGGGGAGGAGAGAGCTGTCAGCTGTCAGAGGAGGCTGAGCTCTCCTTCCACACCGCATGCACCGCCTCCTGTGACAGGCAGAGCAATCAGGATAGGGAGTGGGTTTCAAGCATTCAGCTATCAGAACTGTATGCTTACTGTGTCCACAATTATGAATGAACAGGAAGTGCTATACATGACTTCCTATTCATTCATAGTTGTGGACATAGTAACTATTACTATTTCCACAGTTTATGAATGGACAGGAGCTGCAGAAAAAGAGATTTAGAACTCTGATATTTCCCAAAAGCCCCTAACAGGCAAATAAAAAATAATTTGAAAATAATTTTAACAACTTTAAAAAAGGTTGGGAAACATTTTTTATTTTCGGTTTTCGGCCTGACAAAATGTTTAGTTTCAACCTAAAAATTTCATTTTGGTGTATCCCTAATACTAAAGGAGTATTGTACTGTATAACTGTATGCCTTCTTTTCAGATACCCGGACTCCCCCCTCTGACAACTACTGTTCTTGGTGGAATCATTCCAAAGGTCAGAGCTAAATGAATTTCGATTTGTATTAAATTCATATTATTTCCACATTCTGCACCCAAAAAAATATTAACCAGAGACTTCAAATTCTTGTTCTATTTTGAACTAGCACAATTGAATACATCCTGCAGGGTATTTGATAGCCAACCGAGGGATCTGGATTGTCAAAATGCCTGTTTAACAGCCCTGTCAAACCAGCTTCTGGAGAGACCCTAAACCTTCATACTTGGTCATCAAATATCCCTCAAGATTTGATTCTGCTAGTCCAGGGCACACTCATTTCAGCACCACTGAACCCTGATGAAGGGGGACCCTTAAAAACTCTGAAATGTGTTGGCTTTTTTTGGTACAAGTTTCCAATTAAAATTATATCTGGACTTTACATGATCTGTACCGTTACTTTTCGCCACACATATATAGGAATACAAATATTAAAAAATCCCTGACCTTGTACACTATCCTAAAAATGTCTTTGTGGCTGTAAATGTCTCCATTGGACAGATTCTACCTCAGGTATTACAGTGACCAGGAAATAAGAGAATTCCTCAAGAAAGCAACAATAAAAATCTTTCCATTCTATATTCTAATTCAGAACAAAGGAAAACATTTTCGGCTTACTGTGAACCATCCCCAGTTTGAGATATCAGATGATTACATTTTATTGAGTCCTTGCTGATTTACTTTTACTAATCCAATTTTTTTAATCAAGTTTCATTTTGAACTCAGGTTGCTGCTATGTATAAGGAAGAAAGACCTCTGGTGATGAAGATTTCTGTTCCTTCGGCTCCTATGGTCAAACTGCAGAATAAGCGGGGTATTGTGAAACTATATGTGAGAACAGAAGTCTTTGTCTCTAACGTAGACCGTTCCTTGACACCCGTCTGTGTTCTTGGTGTGGTGAGTAATACATTGCTTCTATGGACAGCACACTATTCCCACCTTAGTGTATAGGTTTAGTTTTTTCTTTTCCCTAGGATCAAGTATTTGCCATCAGGGGATGTCTAACAAGTATTATCCACGTGCAATTAGGGATGCACTGATACCGGTTATTGTATCGAGTACGAGTACAGATATTTTCTTTTCGGTACTTGCTGATACCAATAGCGGAATTCCCATTAAGGAAGCCACAAGGCTTCCTGATTAGCCGGGAAGCCGGGTGGCGTGTAAAGACTCGCCACCCAGCTTCCCGATCAGCAGGGAAGCCGTCTCCATGCACCCTCATCACCAGGTGAAGAGGAAGCATAGAGCTGGCTTTCTGGCCAATCAGGAAGCCGGGCGCCATGTGAAGACGGGTTGCCCGGCTTCCTGATTGGTCGAGAAGCTGGCCAATCAGGAAGCCTGGCAACGCGTCATTACAGGTGCCCGGCTTCCTGATTGGCCCGGAAGCTGGCCCCATGCTCCCTCGTCACCAGGTGACGAGGAAGCATGAAGCCGCCTTTCTGGCCAATCAGAAAGCCGGGGGGGCCTGTAATGACAAGCTGCCCAGCTTCATGATTGGCCGGCTCTATGCTCTCTCGTCACAAGTGACGAGGGAGAGGGTGCATGGAGAGAGCTTCCCGGCCAATCAGGAAGCAGGACAGCGTGTAATGACTTGCTGCTCGGCTTCCTATTCCTGGAAGCTCAAGTATCGAGCTAGACATCAGAGCATTTGGGAGAGTACGAGTACCCGCCCAAATACTCGACAATGGCACCAATACCGATACTAGTATCAGTGCATCCCTACTTGCAATCCCCTATACAGCTAAGCTCAGATTGGGGAGGGAGAGGGAGAAGCAGCAAAGGGTGCCATTAAGTTGTGTTGAAGTGCCTATAAGCTACCAAAAGACATGCTAATAGTAGAAGAGATCAGAGTGACAAAGAGAAAAGCTTATTGGAATGCTATTTCTCCATTTACTGCCAAGTCACAGGCTGAGGGAGGGACAACACCTGAAAGTGTATGTGAACTGCTCCAAACACAGATCAGGTCTCCTCCCCTTCCACACATGGCTGTACCATGTAGCAGAGCTGCATAAATCGCAGAAGTAAATGGACAGAAATACATATCCTATGACAGGTATCACAGCTTCCTTGCATTTCTGGAGTTGGACTTTATGGAAGAAGACCAGTGGCACAGCAAAGAACACAGTTCAACTTAAAGTACAAAGAAGAGGTAGTACAGGACAGGTTACCTAAATTGTATACTTGAAGATGTATAGAAAAGTAATTATACACATAGCAGTTAACTAGACTTGCGACAATTATTATTTGTATCTGTGGCTGAATCTCAGATTCTAAGAACTCCAACCCTGTGGGCTCACTCCCACCTAAAACAGTGTACTAAATGTGCTGTCGCAAATGTCCCTCTATGCAAAAGACATATCTCCTCCTGACAGCTAGTCTATATGGACAGTATAGCAATTTGCTTACTCAAAAAGATCCACATGCAGTGTCAACTCACAAAGAAGACTAAGAGCAAGCAGGCAGCAGCCACTGCTCCACCTTCTCGGTTGGGCTGGTGTCTGTTGCTCTTCGCAACTTGTGATGCTCTATCAGCAACACCCTCCCCCCCCCCCCTTTATACAGCCTCAAGTGGCATATAGGGTAGGGACAGCCCTGCATACCAAATTTAAATGCAAACAATAATAAAACAGGCTGCTTGTGGCAGCACATATAAATAAAAAGTACTTACACTTTCCCAGCCAGATTTAAGAAAATGGAATTACCCCACCAATCTGCCCCCTTTCCCCCTCCACTGGTCTTACCTTCAAGCAAGGGCTGCAGTGCTGTGTATGGTGTACAGATTGATTGTACACCAGCAGCTGCAGAGGGGAATGATGGTTCCCTCAAATGTAGGACCATTGGAGGGGGAAAAGGGGGCAGATTGGTGGGGGTAATTCCATTTTCCTAAATTCGTCTGAGAAAGTGTAATCACCCTATAATTTATATCTGCAAAGCAGCCTGCTTTATTATTGTTTGCAATATATATTTGGTATGTTCCACTATACCCCCTCCTAATTTGCTCTTAGTTAGCTTAGACACTCCCAGCCTCACCATCCAGTACTTAATTTAGGCTTCCAGTCAGGCTTCAGAAGATTTTGTGTTTTTACCATAGAAGAAAGCCCCATAAAATATGTCCTTTGTAATGCCAAACTGGAAAAAACTACACTGGATTCTACATCATGTTGAGTTGACACTGCATGTGGATGTTTTCGAGTAGGCAAACTGCCATACTTTCCATACAGACTTGCTCTCAGGAGGTATGTCTTTTGCATAAAGGAACATTTTGGAAATAATATTATGTATTTATATATTGTTTTACACCTATATAATTGCATACTCATTTCAAGTGTAACTCCACTTTTGTTAAGAAAATAAACAACCAGGGCAACCAATGTATATTGCAAGGATATTAACAAACGTTGCAGATTCCTACCTTTTTCCGTTCTGAAGAAGCTGCTGTTTCTTTTCACCATGTCCTTTCTAGAGTAATTCCTGGCTGGCATAGTCAGCCTTGATTTTAACCATCTGGGCAAATCACAGTGTCCTAATGAGGAAAGCTGCAGTGTCTACACTTGTTTAGTAGACAAGCCTAAGCCCTCGTTCACACCTGAACGTTTTGTAGCGCGTTCTACGCTCGACGAACGCTCTACAAAACGCTCAAACATGAAAATCCCATTGTTTTCAATGGGTCTGGTTCACACCTTGGCGTATTTCAGCCCGTCCCTAACGCGCTACAAAACGGCCCACGCCTGAAAAGGTACATGTACTACTTTGGGCCGTTTTTGTTGTGCGTTTCCATTGGGATACAGCCAAGTAGCCCTCGGAAACGCGCGTTTGTTGCGCGTTTTTGTTACCGCGAATCGCGGTAAAAAAAACGCGCGACAGACGCGCATATGTAATACGCCTAGGTGTGAACCAGGACTTAGGGAATATCTCAACAAAAAAGAAATTTCAATTGCAGGCAATGCCTAAAATTCATAGGTTAGTGCTGACTTCTATAAAAATCGCAGAAGCAGGAAATGGCATTTCTGAGGGCTTTACGTACACCAACAGAGTAGAGAACGCCTCCAGGATGCCATATTGCATTACATTTTCAACGGCTTTATACAAGTACAGAGGCTGCAGGTTGCAATAGAAAGGTCATTTTTTGAGAACATTCAATTACAAAATGGATTGTGTAACAATTGTAATTACATATTTTTAAGTTTTCCTTAACTATGAATATATTATTTTACCACAGGATGCACAGTTAGAGGCCCAGTTTTCTGTTGGAGGCGATAAACTAAGGATTTCCATGTCTATAGAGAGGTAAAACATTTTGCTTGAATAAAGATTTGTTTTTGCATGGAAAATGCAAAGCTCCAAGCTCACTCCTATGATAGACTATAATCTCATGTTTAGTTTAATAAATTGTATTGAGCTTGTAATCCATCACGGGGGTGAGCTTGGAGTGGTGACTACTTTACAACACACAGGGACCATGGGGAACAAAAGTAGCCACCCTCCAGAAGGAATCACAGTGTCAGCACCAATTCAGAGATGATTTGAGGATCTACAGCTGAGTGATACACAAATAAGTTACCGTATTTTGCGCTCCAAAAGGCGCACCGGACCATAGGACGCAGGGAGGTTCTGTGACAGCAGCTGTAGTTAGTGATAGCTGAGACAGGTGGCGCTGTGATTACAGCGCCACGGTCTCAGTGATCACACAGAGGAGACGAGGAACGGATGTTCTTCGTCTGCTCTAGGGACTCTATGGTGAGCTTCTATGTCGTGGTCATGGGTCCCCCAGAGGAGCGGGGGACCACGAAAACCACGGTGGGGGGTCCCGGACACGATCGCCGCCGCTCGATTTAATACAAGTGATCTGATTAGATCACTTGTATTAAACGAGCAGCGGCTCCCAATGTGCATTTAGCTCTGCTTGTCCGGAGCAGGGCTAAATGCACAAAAAACTACTCGCCGGCGCCCGAAACTGCATGTCTCGGGCATCGGGCGATAGGGATTCGCTCCATAAGACGCACACACATTTCCCACAAAAAGTGTGTCTTATGGAGCGAAAAATACGGTACATTTTTGTTAATAGTTAGGGTACTTGAATGTATTTTTAAGATTTAACTTCTGAGTTTAGTGTCACTTAAAAGGTTTAGTCCACCCAAACCTGATATTTCTGATTTTTGTAAAAGCTTCTAATTAAAACCACCTAACAATTCATTATATTGTATATCTCAGGGGCTCTGTTAGTGAGCTCTTTGCTCTTGAATCCCTAGGTCTGCACGCCTGCTGTTGCCTATTGGATTTAAAATCAATTGATATTATAAAGAATGAATCAGGAGAAGTTGGAAATATCTAAAACTCCCAGCTGGACAGTAATATAGTCTGAAATGATGGGAGGGAGATCCCACTGTTGGAGTATCCAAGACATATTAGAAGCCAAGGGTGAACTCAACCCATTAGGCTACACATATAAATAATATACATGTGCGATTCGTTTCGGAAAAATTCATTTTTCAAACACATTTTTGTTATTCTGAGATTCGGATGTATCCGAATGATCGAATAACAGCAATGACGAATGAAAACGAATCAGACAAAATTCGTTAGTGGTAGTCTGTACGAATGTTCGTTCATGGACGTATTTTTTAATGCCACTGTGCTGCAATGAAACAAACACAAAGAAGAATTGACTTTCGGACCTGAATCCCGAAAAACGAAATAACGCAAAATCCGAATCAAAACGAAACTAATCTAAACACATTTTTTTGCTGGTGCACATGTCTAATAAATAAAATACTATTGTGAGTGTATTAATCCTTTAACACTTAACCTAACCCCTGAATTCAACACCTAAACACCCTGTCCCAAAAACGAAACATTTTACCTTTTAACCTGTCATGTTTTAA